TGTTTATAAATGTTGTATTAATCGATCACACATTAAGCATTGATGTGCTGTTGTCATTTTTTTTGTCATCCAACCGTTCAGTAATAAAATGTTGGGCCTTCTTCTAGTACATTATGCAAAACATGACAAGTTCACGAGAGGATGGTACATAACTATGCTATAATAGGTGACGCTGTAGTCAAGTTATTTAAGTTCATACATTTTGGTACATATTCTATATTTATGGACCAAAATCTGGACCCGTTACACGTGAGACTGTGTAGTGGAGTTATTAATAAATTTTATATTTACAATCAAAAAAATCAGACGGACTGCTGGGTACATCGCAAGTGATGCAGAAATCATGATCATCTTGACACGCACACATATTACTTCTTTCTAAGTGTTACTAAAGTTCACTGTTGAACTTAAAACCAAGTTTGTTGGTTGTAAACGATTTCAAATGCTTGAGTGTGCGTGTTCTTAAAGTCGAGCACGGTTTTGGCTTGGTTTTTGCGTCACTTGAAATGTACGCAGCGCTCCGTTTTTCTTTCTTTGTTGGTCTGCCTTTATACTGTTAAAAATTTAAAAATTTAGGCAGTGAAAGTATTATAATATCAATTATCTGAGCAGAACGTTTGTGACATACAGACGTAACACTAACAACGAGCAAACACTAATGAAGTTGAAGCGAAACTCACCATACATAACACAGAATCATTAAGCTGCTATTTCAAGCTGGTATTCTGTAAGAACGAGGTCTTTTTCTGTTTGAGCCAATCCATTCATGCTACAATCATAATATAGCTTCATCGTAGCTTTATCACGCATAAGAACATTTTTTAAAACACATCTATTGTTACCATTTGATTGCAATAAAGATTATGAATTATGAAGAATTCATTTCGTCAATATTTACTTTGATACAATTTTTTTTTAAATATTTTTATTATAATAAATATGATCAATACTGATTTATTATAATTTTTGTTAAGTATTTTTATAACACCATTATTATTTCTGAGACTACAGAAAATAGATTTCAACAAACTTTTTTTTCTATTACCAGTTTTTTTTTTTAAATTAGGATATTATTCTGATTGAAAAACCAATATGATTTATAATTACGTTTTGAAATCACACATTGATATCACTTAAATAGTGGTTCTTTAATATTTAATAAACTTGGCTAAGCAGAGGCGACAAATTTTTCGTCATAATACTAGTAGCTGCCATAGTCTTACAAACATGTGAATCTACCCGCTTTTGTAAAAATTCATATCAAATATATAAAATAATATATACAATATGTAAAAACACCCTATCCGACCCAAAAACTAAAACATATTATAAAAACGTAATTGTTATTTTTTTGTTTTAAAATTTGATTAAAATGCCGTATTATTAATCAATGGCTATCCGCACCCCATGTACTGCGATACAAATCCACACTTAATTTAATTTTAATTTTTTCGGGATAATTTTTATTAATCTCTGAAAAGGATTTATGAACAGGATCATATCACGATACCTAAATGCTCCCTCATGGATCGGGCAGGGTTTTTTAACATACTGCAGTGGTGATGGCCTTAGAAAATTTATTTTTTACTTCAGGATGGGTGGCCACCATATTATGTGAGTATTAGAAGACATCTATAAACTTATTTGTGTGGTGTATGCAACACTAATAAATATTAATGTCGGAAACTATTCAGTAAACTTACACATATTTACCGCTAAAACTGTATTAATACTGTATCGATTTGGTCTATTGTATCATTTTACATTCAAATACCCTAGTAAATGCATTTTAAAATTCATATAAAAATACTGGTATACTCGTTTTTGTACGATTGGTCTCTAAAACTAAACTATATATGTACACTTACGCATAATCTAATCTCGTAGCTACACAGCTAAAAAGGCATATAAAACTATATAGTATATTGTTATATTAGCCTTGTAACGTTAAGCGACTGTAACAACATACAAATTGACGTACATTAAACATTTACCGACGATTATATATCAAACCAACGGCAAAACTGGCGCGAATAATAAGTTATTTTATTACATAGATATAGTATACATTAGATTGGCGATGGAGAAATCAGGGTGAGACCAAAAACGAAAGGTACGGGTGTGAGTGAAATGTGCATGTGTGCGAGACGAATAGTGCTGCGTCATGCATCAACTTCAATTATCGATACAGAGTGCTATGTCCGTGTCATAAAAGGAATAAAATTAAAATTAAAATTTTTGTTAGAGGGCTTAAAAATAAAACTACAAACAAAAAGTTCGTGATTTTTATTTTCCACCAAAATAAAATTAATTTATTTTAAAAATGTGGTAAGCTCTCCTTAAAGGTATTTTGCGATTTTGCTTCATACTTCGATGTAATAATCAAATAAGTTTCGATTATTAATTTAATAATTGTTTATGGTTTGATATTGCTGGCGAATCATAAATGTGTATGTCAAGTATCTTAAGCATTTTTTTGCAGGACAAGGCATTTCGTTTACAATTTTTCCTTTCATGTTTTCGGAAAACTCGTTCAGAATGAATACCTATCTCATAAAAGTCTTGAGAGGGATAAATAGAAATAAACAGCTGTGCTTACACTGTCGCGTTCCGGCCTGTTGTGTATAGATAGCCTATATAATTATAAACTGTAAGGCATTTTATTTTAGTCCTCAGTGGTGAAAAAACATTTGTAGGTTTCTTTGTTTGAAGCTGACTGTAAATAATGTACTGCAGAAGCCGTTTACCATCAAGTGATACCGCAAGTTCCTTTGTTACTTTAGTTTTATAAAAACTTGAACATGCGCAAACGAAATGAACATATGTATCATAAAATATATAATAAGGAACATAAATAATGTAGGTATTGAACAAGAACGCAGCTTTACTCTTTGTGCACTTCTATGAGAAAAACATTTTTGTTCAAAGCAGAAGTGAAAACTTGAATATTAACGTTGTGCATTTTTGATATTTTGGAATGGCGGAGATTATTTATTATTATCTTATTTCATTTATTTTCATTCGAAATTATTTGTTTGGTAAACCTACACCGCACATGTGCTTATTGTGGTGTTATGAAAATTAATGTTATAAAGTATAAACATATTACAAATATTACATCTATAATGTGTAAGTACATATGTATCTATATTAATAATTTCGTCAAGCAGTACAGTAGACTCGATCGAAACCTAATCTTAATAATAAAATTATATTAATTAATAAATGAAAATTAATTAAACCTAACCTAACCTGAATAATACTACTACGCCGCACCGGCTGTCTACTCTCCGTCCGTCTTACGAATTTTCGATCAGGATACGTGACCTGACGCGAGTTTAACATTTTTTACCCATTACAAAAAAAGTGCACAACGCCGCTAAAGAAGTTTTCACTTCAAAAATTACGAAGTTACAAGAGGTTGCATCCAAAGATATGCCTTTGCCTGTTATAAACATATTATCGATAAGAAGATAGTGATAGTATCAATCCCTACAAAAATTAGATCAGAAATAGCGGAAATTCACGTATTTGTTATTATATTTAATATAATTTATACGCATTTAGAGCATTATCATACTTAAATGCGATATTTTTTCCTATACATTTGTGTATAAAATATTTGTACCAGTTCTAAAATATTGCATTTAGAGTGCAATATTGCATTTTAATTGTACTTACGTGTGAAATGTATAATTTTGTGGTTTTTCTTTTCTCGATGAACTGCGTTCAGGTACTGCACACGTCACCATTTTTAATCACACCTTTTAAACACTATTAATATTTTAAAATCAAATATGTCGCGGAAATAAGCGGGATTTGTTTCGTCAACGATTGACGTCAGTCCGATATAGACCTATAGCGTGTATGTGTATGATCTAGCCATTCTATCTCGTTCTAACGTAAGCATATGCTATGCCCTTTCTCTTTTACATTGCCAATCTAACGTAAGTATATACTAAATCTATGGTTTATTATATCTATTATTATTTTATACTTTTGAATAGACAAAGGTCTATTGAACATACAACCATTATATGTTTTAACATTTTTGACTTCACATCATGAGGCTTGACAATTTTCTGAAATAATTTAGGCGTTTACATGGATAAATTTCTCTTTACAAACACTTGTTCCATGCAAGTATCGAAATAGTGGTTGAGTCTACTCCATTGTCTTTGATAATAAAAATAAATGAAACAAATTAACCATTGCCTAAACTGACTAATCACTTATTATCTGTTAAATTTAGTCAAATCTGTATGTTATTCTCGCTAATTTTATTCACCATCCGAATTAAAAATTAATTGCACTTGTGTAATTCTTTTAGTTAATTTCAATTTTACATGGAATCAATATAATATAAATTTTATATCATATCACTTAATTTTATTATGCATTATTGCTCTCACATTATTAAATGGTAACAATTAGAATATTTTAATTCGGTGGTTGTTATCGAATTTTTAAATATGGAATGTTACTATAAAAAATAATGTTCAAAACATAGCAAACAAGGCACGATTCGATTATTGATGTATTCAGGAATTACTTAATTAAAATTCACCATATTTTTGTATATATTTGTGCTATGATATGTCAGTATATCATAGCACAAATATATACAAAAATAATGTGAAGTTTCTACGAAATAGTTAAAACTTTAAATACCTAGCAACACTAGCTTACGTCAAATAAAAAATAATATATATTGTTCATTGTTGTAAGTACGTTATTGAAGTAAACATAATCATAATCTTACATAAATATTTAAAAGAAAAGGACTCGAAAACGATAAATTCAAAAATTATTTGTACTGGCTAAAACCTGATTTAATATCCGTCAGTAAACATCCCTTCCTTCACTAAAAGTAATGATTTCCAATCTCAACAGTGCTGCCTGCTTTAAGCTTAAAAATTCTACCTAAAATTAAAGTCACTTTGTAATGCGATTTCTGTCAGCATTAATATGAAATACCTACCGAAATACCAGGGTAGGAATTAACTATTAGGAATACTGTCGCCCCATGAACAGAACCAATTATAGTTGAACATGGCAGCGTAGGGGTGTTTCCGCTTTTTGTGTAGACGTAAAGACTCCTCCGATGCATACCAGAATTGAGGAAACTTGTCGAATGGGTACTTTTCAGACTCTTTCACATACGGTTCGGAGGCATTCGCTGAAATTAAAAAAAGAACGATTATTTTCTCCAAACCTACGTTAATATAATTTAAGAAGTTGTACAATAATTTAATAGATTGACGATTCCTCAAACAGGCAAGTTTCTTCAAATAAAAATTAAAAGTGCAATTATTAATTCAACATTCAACCAAAAAAAGTCCTGCTGGGTGTCTTGCTAGTTCTTCTTAGACAAAAGTTTTTTCCTAAACAGTAGTAACATTTTAAAAAAACTTTACGTAGGTCACTCAATAAGTTTTGAGATGCTCGAAATTTAAAAATGGAACGCACCCGTGTTATATGTTTCTAAAAAGCAAATCTATTTAAAAACTAGCTGTTCCCCGCGACTTTGCCCGCGTGTAATTTAGGGTTTTCATTTTTTAGCGAGGAACCCTAATTATTTTTCTAAAATAAAAGTAGCCTAAGTTACTCCTTGTGACATCAGCTATCTGCCAGTGAAAGTCCCGTCAAAATCGGTCCAGTCGTTTCGGAGTTTAGCCGGAACAAACAGACAGACAGACAGACGGACAGACAGACAAAAATTTTAAAAAGTGTATTTTTGTTATAAGTACTGTTTATACTTTCATATGCATTTAGTAAAACGTTGTAATTTTGATATTACAAACAGACACTTCAATTTTATTTATTTGTATAGAAATTGCCGTGTAGTGGCGGTTAAGAATATCCACTACCCCATATCTTCCCGTGGGTGTCGTAAAAGGCGACAAAGGGAAAAAGGCAGGAGATGGGCAGCAGCATCATCCTGGTAACGGCAAAAATACAATAAAAAAACTGCGGTTGCCAACCCGCTCGCCAAGCGTGGCAACTATGGCAATATACCCCCCATGATGAAAGTTACGAAGAGACGGCCCCCAGTCCCCGGCGGCCCCGCTATTCCTGGCTACGGTGGCGACCATGGTAACGGCGGGGCAGGGGGTGCTAAGAATCTCCGGTGGAGGTTCGGTTGCCACCTACGACGACTCGACCTGGCAACATACAACGCACGCACGCTGAGGACTGACGAGAAGATTGTGGAGCTGGAAGAAGAGATAGACAAGTTACGCTGGCATATTATAGGATTATCCGAAGTCCGAAGAGAGGGGGAGGACAGAGTAATCCTCGAATCCGGCAACTTGCTCTATTACCGGGAGGGCGACCATCAAGGAGGTGTCGGATTTATCGTCCACAAGTCTCTCCTTAGAAACGGCAAGGCCCCAGGCGAGGATGGAATTACAGCGGAGCTTCTGAAAGCGGGTGGAAAACCGGTACTTGAAGTCCTTCAGAAGCTCTTTAATTCCGTCCTCCATGGTGGCATTACACCGGAGGCGTGGAGCAGAAGTGCGGTGGTCTTGTTCTTCAAGAAAGGCGACAACGCTCTCTTGAAGAACTACAGACCCATTTCCCTTCTGAGCCGCGTCTACGTGCTGTTTTCGAGAGTCATTACGAATCGTCTCGCGCGCAGACTTGACGACTTCCAGCGTCCCGAACAAGCCGGTTTCCGAAAAGGCTTTAGCACCATAGACCACATACATACCCTTCGGCAAATTGTACAGAAGTCCGAGGAGTACAATTTGCCACTATGTCTGGCGTATGTGGACTATGAGAAAGCCTTTGATTCCGTGCGAAATTTGGGCGGTGCTGCAGTCCCTTCAGCGATGCCAAGTTGACTGTCGGTATATCGAAGTGTTGAAGTGCTTGTACAGTAAGGCTACGATGGCTATTCGAGTACAGAACCAGAGTACGAAACCTATCCAATTGCAGAGAGGTGTAAGACAGGGTGACGTCATATCCCCGAAACTCTTTACCGCTGCATTGGAAGATGTTTTCAAGCTTCTGGACTGGAAAGGATACGGTATCAACATCAAAGGCGAGTACATCACTCACCTTCGATTTGCCGACGATATAGTCCTTATGGCAGAATCGCTGGAGGACCTAAGCACTATGCTCAATGACCTCAATAGTGTTTCCCAACGGATAGGTCTTAAGATGAACATGGACAAAACAAAGATCATGTTTAATGTCCATGTCACACCTATACCGGTAGTTGTTGGGAACATTAAGCTCGAAGTTTTTGACGAGTATGTTTACCTGGGACAAATAGTCCGACTAAGTAAGTCCAACTTCGACCGAGAGGTCGATCGACGGATTCAACTCGGTTGGGCAGCGTTCGGGAAATTACGGCACATCTTCTCGTCAGGTATACCTCAAAACTTGAAAACGAGACTGTACACCCAGTGCGTGTTGCCAGTGATGACATACGAAACTGAGACGTGGTCCTTCACTGCTGGCCGGATGAGGAAGCTCAAGGTCGCTCATCGAGCTATGGAGAGGGCTATGCTCGGAGTTTCGCTGCGTGATAAACTCAGAAATGAGGATATCCGCAGTAGAACCAGAGTGACCGACATAGCCCAACGGATTAGTAAGCTGAAGTGGCAATGGGCCGGCCATATAGCTCGAAGAACCGACAACCGATGGGGAAGAAAGGTTCTCGAGTGGCAGCCTCGTACCGGCAGGCGAAGTGTAGGGCGTCCCCCCACTAGATGGAGTGACGACCTGGTAAGATATGCAGGAAGTCGATGGATGCAGGTGGCTCAGGACCGTGCTTTGTGGCATTGTTTGGGGGAGGCCTATGTTCAGCAGTGGACTTGTGAAGGGCTGTAATGATGATGATGATGATGATGTACAGAAGTAGAACTCCATAAGCCAATGAGGGCATCCACGACTTTATCTGCCACCAGGGCGGCGCCACTTTAGAGCGAGGTAAAATATTGTCTTAAAAAAGTGAAAATGTAATCTTTAAGGTTTCTTTCTGTATTATTAGTTATATTTTATATTAATTACATTAGAAATGAATAAACTAAACTATAAATATAACTAAAATCCGATTTAAAAAAAAGGGTTATAAAGTGCAAAAAATTAAAAATCAAACAACTGACGCATTATGTTGTGTATTAATACAATACTCTAGAAATTTACAATACTCAATTAACTGACACTGTGTAACAAAAAACTTTACCTCAGTCACAACTAGCGACATCTGGTGAGTGGAAGATTATTAGCCCTCATTGCTCAGTATTAAAAAAAAAAAAACAAAGTTCTATTAATTTTCCTCCAACGCTTCCCGCGCTTTTCATTCGATGGATCTTAACCGTGAACATTTCCGGGCTATGATATATTTTGATTTTAAATTTGGTTTAACCGAACAATTAAGTTTATGATGGTTACAATCAGCATTAGCGGAAACAATCAGCTCCATCACGCGCAACAATTTTTAGGTGTTTTGCTGAATTCAAAAGGGGTAAAATTAATCTTAAAGATGACCAAAGGACCGGGGCCCCGCAAACAGCAGTAATGGCAGAAAATGTATGGACTACTGAAATGTTGGTGCGAGAAGACCCACGAATCACATAATATACGGACATCGAAAACATCGTAGGCATTAGTTCAGGGAGCATTCATACCGTCCTACATCAACATCTTGGAGTGAGGAAGCTTTGTTGTCGATGGATCCCTCGTTTGCTCTCCAAAAGCAAAAAACAGACTCGTGTGGATTGGTGCCATGAAATGCGTCTACGTTTTGAAAACGGGGCATCTAGGCGTGTTTCAGAAATCGTTCCTGGTGACGAGACATGGATCTATCAATATAATCCGGAAAATAAAAGGCAATCATCGGTATGGGTCTACTCAGAACAGTTACCGACAAAACTGCAAAGACCTCGCAATGTCGGCAAAAAAATGGTGGCTAGTTTTTTTTCGCAGAGCGGACATATGTCGATGTCAATGTGGAAAATTCTAGGTCAATCAACTCTGAATGGTATACTACAGTTGCATTACCCAAAGCTTTTCAAACTGTGCGGGAGAGAAGACCAAAGACCGGGCTTCGGGGAATCATGCTGCATCACGATAACGCCTCTTCACATACCTCCCTTAGAACAAAAACTTTTATTGAGGAATCTGGTGTTAAAACTGTTAGTCACCCACCCTACAGCCCTGACTTAGCTCCTTGTGATTTCTTTTTGTTCCCAAGAGTCAAAGAAAAAATAAAAGGCAAGTTTTTTTCAAGCGCCGAAGAAGCCGTGGCTGCCTACGAAGAAGCGATTTCCGACCTGTCAGATCAAGACTGGCAAAAGTGTTTTCAGAGTTGGTTTAGGCGAATGGAACTTTGTATAGAGCATGATGGAGAATATTTTCAAAAGATGTAAAATAAATATTAATAGTATCTAGAATACTTTTTGTATATCTCAAATCTTATTGAGTGTCGTAGAGAGAAGTACGTAAATAACAATTAGTAGTAATTTATATTGAACTAGCTGTTCCCCGCGACTTCGCCCACGTGTAATTTAGGGTTTTAATTATGTTGCGCGGAACCCTAATTATTTTTCGAAAATATAAGTAGCCTAAATTACTCCTTATGACACCAGCTATCGTTCAGTGAAAGTCCCGTCAAAATCGGTCCAGCCGTTTCGGAGATTAGCCGGAACAAGCAGACAGACAAATTTTAAAGTGTGTTTTTGTTATAGGTACCGTATGTACTTTCATAAGCATTTAATAAAAAGCTGTTATTTTGACATTACAAACAGATACTTCAATTTTGTTTATTTGTATAGATAAAAAAGTATTTTATTCTATTCTATCGGCGCCGTCGGGGATCGAACCCGCTGCATGTTTGAGAATAACAATTCCTCAAACATGCAAGTTTCTTCACTATTATTTTCTTCACCGCAGCCCCCGTCGCTGCCTCGGCCCCACTTATGTCACTAGACATCCCCGCTCCGACCAAGCCAGCCTCTCGCTGTGCTCCAGTCCTTGCCAAGAAGCAAGTCCCGCCCCCTGTCTTCCTAAGAGACAAGACCAAATTCACAGAACTCTCCAAAACCTGCTACAACGCCATCAACCTCGGGGAGGCTATTAAGATCATCCCCCAATCAATCGACGACTTCCGGCGTCTCACCAGGCTATTTACAGCCGAACGAGTATCTTACCATACATACGCTCTTCCGG